ATCTGAAGTAAGCTCCAGGCTCTGAGCTGTCAGCACAGAGCCTCACACAGGGCTTGAACTCACACACCATGAGATCATCACCTGAGCTTAAGTCTGAAGCTCAACCAGCTGAGCCACTCAGGTGCCCCAGCATCCCCTTACTTTTAATCTGAAGGTGACTTTAGGTCTAAAATGGGTCTCTTGATAAGACACTCTTAAAAACTGAGAACAAACGGAGGGTTGATGGGGGGTGGGAGGGAGGGGAGGGTGGGTGATGGGTATTGAGGAGGGCACCTTTTGGGATGAGCACTGGGTGTTGTGTGGAAACCAATTTGACAATAAATTTCATATATTGAAAAAAAAATAAAATAAAATGGGTCTCTTGTAAACAGAATATAGATGGATCTTGTTTTCTTATACATTCTGTTACCCCATGTCTTTTGATTGTTTAGTCCATTGACATTTAGAGTGAGTACTAAAAGATATGAACTTACTGCCATTGTGTTACCTGTAGGGTTGGAGTCTGGTGGTGTTCTCTGGTCCTTTCTTGTCTTTGTTGCTTTTGGTCTTGTTTGTTTCATCTTCCCTCCCCTCAACTAGTGCCAGACTTTACTGCACTCTGGTGTCTTTGTTTCAAAATCAGCAAACGTGGCTGTTCTCCAGGGTCTGCTGGGACCTTTGCCTGTGGGGAAGCCATAGGGCCTCTACCAAATGCCCTCCTAACAGGGGAACTGCTACTCTTTGCATGGCCTGTGGACCCCCTGGACCTTGCTGTCTGCTTCTGGGGATTCGCTCTTCCCACAAGAGCACTGCCAGGTATTGAGCTGAGAAATTTCCACCTGTGCTCTCCCCTATTTACACAGTCCTAATGGTATTGAAACCCTCTTTTTACTCCCTTTCTTGTTCAGTCACTTGTGGGTGTCCCCACTCTTTCTCTTTGTCTCCATCCACTTTTGGAGGGAGTGTTTTTCCTATACTCTCCCCCCTCTCTCTGTCCTCTCTCCACAAAAACAACTCCATACCCTCCGTGGCTTCTCCCTCCCTCTGTTCACCTCTGTGTGATGGGTACCTGCTTGAGTTCTGCGCCTAATGTTATGCAGATTGTTGTGTTAATCTTCAGATCAATTTTCTCGGTGTGCAAAATGATTTGGTGCTGTTCCAGCTGCATTTCAGAGATGAGAGAAGTAGAGAACTTCCATGCTGCTCTGCCATCTTGGCCCCTCACTTCTTAGTGCATACTTTTTAAAGTACTTTCCTAAGGCCTTTTCTTTAAAGTTTTATTTGTTTGTTTATTTACTTATTTATTTATTTATTTATTTATTTATTTATTTATATACAGTGGGGGAGGGTCAGAATACACACACACACACACACACACAGAGAGAGAGAGAGAGAGAGAGAGAGAGAGAGAGAGAGAGAGGATCCCAAGCAGATTTCATACTGTCAGTGCAGAACCCGAGGCAGGTTCCATTTCATAAACCAAGAGATCATGACCTGAGCTGAGAGAGTTGGACTCTCAGTCAACTAAGCCACCCAGGTGCCCTGCCTAAGGCCTTCTTAATTTAAAAAATTTTAGGTTATCAATGAGTGAAACTTGAAGTTTCAAAAATGCATGGGCTTAATTTATTCTTAGGGCTTCATACTTCCTTATATTTAAGTTAGGCAATAGTAATTTCTCCATTTATTCTTTCGTACAACAAACGTATCCAGTACTTACTACATTCTGGGTGCCACTCTTAGAACTGAGCAAAACAGACAAAAATCCCTATTTTCCTACAGCTAATCTACTGGGGAAAAGACAGACACCAAATAATAAATATAAAAAGTAAGGAAATTGTTTAGGATATTGGAAGGAGAGAAATGCTCTGGAAAATAAAAAGGTAAATGTAGCAAACTGGTGATCCGAAGTGCAGGGAGGGGGCATTGGCAGGGTGCATTATTAAATAAGATAGGGTAGGCTTGTGAACATGTAGGGAGGTAGAAATGAATGAGATGTATAATAGAGTTTTTTTCTCGTATTTCTGCTGATTCCCTAACATTTTCCCCAGTTTAAACTATAATCAGGATCACTCATATATCTTTGACCTAGAGCTACCTATATCTTATTCACACATCTAGTTACATTGACAATCCTTAGTCACACATCTTCCTCATGGGGCTCATGTGTGATCAACTTAAACCCATTTCAGGACCTCAGAATCACTGTGCTAAAAGTCAGAAGATTCTTGAAAAGCAGTTGACTCATGAGGATATAGAATCCATAGTGAAACAGGCTACTTTCAAAAACATAAAAGAAGACCCCAGAACAAATTATGACACTGAGGCCCACTCTTGGAAGGGCAGAGTACAAGACCTTTCTCGAAAAGCTAGTAATAACGCGATGTGCTTTGTTTCTAAATTAGGGACAATGTCCTGCTCTGACAATGCTCTCTGCAATACTTTTCTGTCTATAGATGGATGTTGCTGAAGTCTTCTCTCTCCCAGCACCTCTTGTGCCTAATGACTTGGCTTGCTGACTCAGTTAACTGGGATTAGACAGCTGTCCATCACTGCTGGAAATCCAATCATTTCAAAAGAATGTCGTTCTAGGAAATTGGTCTAAACTTTGAACAACAAAAAGAAGAGCCAAACATGTATAATTTATACTTCAGCAAGAGTTGTTAGCTATGTGACCTGATTAACTACAATTTTAAAGTTACAGCACACACTATGCATACAATGTCTGGAATTAAAACAATGCTCAGATTTCTAATACCATCTTCTACACTATGATTATACTCTAATGCTCCTCTTGTCCTTATTTGCCTGTTTCCTTTGTGATAAGGTCATCTCTGGGTTGAAGTTTACACTATCGACCTATGTGGATCTTTCGTTTCTAAATTGACATTCCTTGACTAACATTTCATAGATTAACTGTTCTCTATATTCAAAAGGCACTTTCTTCACATGACTGAGTCCCTTTTAATATTAATTATTCATATTGAAATTGTGGTGGACTTTTTACGAGTTACATTTCAATGGACTTTTCTGTGTATTCTGTGGCTTCTAATAAGAGGGAGGATTATGAAGATGCTATCAAAGCCCCCCAGAATTACAGCTCATATTTCCCTGTTTATTTAGGACAATCTCAAACTAATATTTAGAAATGTATCATTTCTCCCATTTGTTATGTGCCTGGGTACATAATATAGTACCAATGAAAGACTTCTAAACTCTTTTTTTTAACTTGGGTATGTTTTGTGTATCCTGAAGTTAGCACTCTTGAGAGTATCTTTCTTCTCCTTTATGAAGTGTCAATATTCTTTGTCCAGAAAATACACTCTTTTATCTTCCATAAATCTCAGTCTATACAGGCATACCTCACTTTATTGTGCTTTGCAGATACTGCTTGTTTTACACACTGAAGGTTTGTGGCAACCTTGCATCAAACAAGTCTATTGGCACCATTTCTTCACCAACATTTGCTCACTTCACACCTATTCTCACCATATTTCAAATTTTTTCATTATCATATCGGTGATTACGACTCACTGAAAGCTCAGGTGATGATTAGCATTTTTTAGCAACAAAGTATTTTTTAAGTGTTTACATTTTCTAGATGTAATGCTTTGCACACTTAATGGCCTACAGTATAGTTTAAACATAACTGTTATGTGCACTGGGAACCCCAAAAATTCATTTGACTCACTTTATTGCTGTATTTGCTTCATTGAGGTGGTCTGGGACAGAATGAACCCATGGTATCGCCAACGTATGCCTGTGTTCTTTATCTACAACACTTCAGAAAGTATTTCTTTTTATAGGATGATATCCTTTATTCTAAAACATACTACTGCTAACTCAGTTGTCTTTAATCTGGGACCGTCGCCTTAGCTGCAGACATATCCCCACATTCAGTCCTTTTCTATAGATCCTTTATTTACCTTCTCTATGAGTGCCAGGTTTACCATGAAGTTGATGATACTTAATATAGGCTCTTTGTTATGCCCTGCACTTAATTTCTAATTCATATTTTTGAATTCTCTTAAGAGAGCCCTTCAAATTGCATAAGCCTTAGGTGACACAAATCCTTGATCTGCCCTATTCCTACATAGGACTCAAGAGGAAAAGGCTCATATAGAAAGCAACCCAGTGCCCTGATTTAAACCAAGATTACGGATTAGCAGTCTCATTCTCTTGGGTGGCCAACTTTCCTAGGTTAGCCTGAAGTGGATGGAAGCACTTCACCTATGGCTTTAGTTAATTTCATGTGCCGTCTTCTATAAAACCCTATTTGACAGTGAGGAATTAACACTTTGGGAAACACTTATGTGCCATGTTGATATAAATACTATATTTGACCCATACGGACACCCAGAGCAGTAGGAATTATGGTCCCAAACTCTGAGTATTAAGATAATTTGTCCAAGGTCATACAGTTAAAAACGTTGGCATCTGGGATTTAAAACCACTTCTGACTCTAAAGTTGCACACAACACAACTGTATTGCTCTTTATTTTTCCTAAATTGATACTTGGTTTTACCAAGGTATCCATAGGTTACAGAGGTGGAGATAAGCATGGGGGATAAAATACTCAGAAATTTTCCAAGTAAATTACTTAGTAATATGAAATCAGACATACTGCATTTTTCCATTTGCCACAAGATAAAATTACCAATGAGGACTGCTTAAAAGAAATGTTCGGCTCTAAATAGGGTGGTGGCAACATTTTGCCCTACAAAATAACTTTTCACTTCCCCATACAATTACCATTGCTGTTCTTCCACTATACGTGTGGAAAAAATTGTCGGGAGTTTTAGCCATGGCCAGGAACATAAAAATGGAGCATTTCCCAGCTTCCTATTTGGCTAATTGTAAACATTTTGGGGACGAATTGATAAAATCTGGCCATAGTTTTGCTAAGTATCTACAAAGCTTCAGAATTCCTTAATCCTTAGGCATAGAGTTCCACAGCCTTTGCCAAACGCCTTAAAGCTCCGCTCAGCCCCATCTGTGACTCTTCTCCTGGCTCTAGGGGGCGCTAGTCATCACAGTCCGGAAGGTCACTGTAGAAGCAGCCCTGGCAGCCTCTGTGCGCTCTGTAAGCGATGAGCAAGTGGTAAAACCCAGGCAGAAACACCAGGATGCCAACAATCAGAACGGCAACAGCCCGGTTGGCGCCCACTTTGCTGATGTAGCCTACCAGCAGGAGGCAACCCGTGACAACGAGAAAGGCGCCAATCAAAAACTGCGCGGTGGCACAGGCAATGGCCTTATAAGGAATCCTCGTAGAGTTTTTCTTAAACTTCACTAAGTGCGATCTCACTGGACATCTTTTCAATTTAAAGCTAGCTTCAGTAGGCGAAGTTTCCTTCTGACGGTTAATGTGCCCAGTGTCAGTGCTGGAGAGCTTTGAGTATTTCACTTTGCTGCTGGGGATTCCAGCAGCCACGTTGGGGCGAGTGGGAAGCATAACCGCAGGGGGCGTGCGGAGCTGTCCTGCTGCCACAAAGTGAGCAGGGGCGTCAGGACCCACTCGCCCACCCAACGGCTGTCTGGACCCGCGTGGAGGCTCGCCTCGGCATCTCTCATTCACCTAACTCCTGTTTCTACAAGACCGCTGCGTTTGTGATCGAATTCCTCTTTCATCATGCAAAGTTGCGATTACGTTGATAGTCTGATGTTATATGGGCTCTCTGATTTTCTTAGGGCAGTTCTAGTAAACTCCCAGATTCCTTTGACACTGCAACTGTTTAGATTGAGCAGATTAGTTTACATTCATTAGATTTCATTCAGTCACTTTCATAGAATTTCCATTTTCTCTAAATGTTCGTAAGCACATCCCGCGTTTGCCTCTCTTGCGTTGGTCTAACATGCAGCATACTTGGTTAATCTGATCAGCCTCTGAGGGCCAATTAGGGGAGAGGAGAGATGTGAAAGTTGGAATCAAACCCGGCTGAAATCCTGGCTCTGCCTTTTATTAACTGTGTAAGCTTAGTCATAGTGCATATCCAAGGACCTAGTTCCTTCTGTAAAAGGGGAATTGTGACATGCAGTGCAGATTATTGTGAGTACTTACTGAATGAAGGATGCAGACTGCCTTCCTCCACAGAGGAAGTCCTATCTCCACAGAACTCAAGTCCTGACATGATCAAGGGCAAGGCGTGTCCAAAGACTTTAAGACATCTCACTCCTGAGTTTTGGCTGATTTTGTAGATGACAGCTTTCCTGCATCTCATGTTGCCTGATCATTGAATTGGCTGCCTTGTGGGAGCGGTATGACCTCTGGAATGGTAGGACTTATTTAGAAGTGGTGTGGTCTTCTGATAGGCTGTTGCGGACGGGGTTCCTTCTTCGTGAGGGGTTGAATTGGAGACCTCTAAATTCACTCTCAGTTTCTGGAATTTGTACCCGAGCTGCAGCCTCTGCTTAAACCTTTTTTTTTTTTTTTAATCAAACAATTGTAGTATTTCTCC